TTCTGTATTATAAAAACCCTATAGTATCTGCCAAGTGATCCGTGGGTAAGTAAAGTAAGTGACGAAACCCTGTTTAGCACCAAAGATGTCACCAAAATCTAAAAAAAAAATGAGGAACTCTAACATAAAGCTCAGACCCAGTGTTTTGTTGATGTCTCAGAGACATATTTCTTTAATTCTGTAGAAAATTTTTTATCATTCAGTTGGTGGTGGTACAGTTATTGGTCCTGCTTTAGGTATTGTGCTTTACACAGCTCAATGGATTGTGTTCATGTTCATGAAACATCTTAAGCACTTGGATTTGTTTTTGCTTTGCAGTGAAATGCATCAGGAACAAGCCAGCATTCTTTGCTGAACGATTATACAAATCAATGAAGGTAAATATTTTATTCTTGTAATGGTGCTACTATACTGTAATGTGTAGCCACTACACATGATTTCTCCTAATATGCACTGGTATAAGTGTTTGTTTTCTTGTAGGCTGGATGTATTCAGTAAACACTGTTTCTGCTCTCATGTGTTTGTGTCCATTACCTTTTATTTACCTTTTCCAGCTATAGCTAAACATAATCATAGTAGTTATTGATGTTATCATCTCTATGAAGCCAAGTCTAGCACAGCATAAACACAGTTTCTATGTCTTGTCAGGGCCTGGGCACCACTGATAGTGTCCTCATCAGAATAATGGTTTCCAGGGCTGAGATTGACATGTTGGACATTAAGGCTCAGTTCCTGAAGATGTATGGCAAGACTCTCCACTCCTTCATCAAGGTGAGGACACACTGTACTCAGCAAAAGCTTTGCAATACATCAGCTGTGATATAATGTATGAATGTGGGTTTGAGCTATGATGAGACTGATTATTGCTGCTTTCATTTCATTCAGTTTCTCACAGTTTTACCCTTAAGAAACAATGTTTAGTTATATTTTTGGGTTTTTCAAAAGTCTTGGAATCTGAATTAAAAATACCAGTGTTAGTTTGGCAGGGTTGCTTTTTGAGACTCATAGCAGTAATTCCCAATCCCGGTCTTTTGACATCTCACTGATTGTTCTCTCACTGTGTAGGGAGACACATCTGGTGACTACCGCAAAATCCTCCTGGAACTGTGTGGAGACGAGTAAAAGAAGAAGCAGAAGCTACAGTGTGTTCACTCTGCAGGCTACATTGAGTTATTTTTTGTTGGTGACTTAATTGTACTGCATTTTACCTTTTCTTCTTCATGGCCTTCACATTTCACCAATTGTTCATAGCACCTTGCTTTGCTGTTTGTAATACCAATTAAACCAAAGACCAGTGACCTTTTACACATCTTTGTTTTTGTTATTGATTCTGTGTTAAGGAATAATTAGTTACTAGACAGAAAGAGGTATGCTTCTCACATCTTTAAAACCATAAAAGGTGTGAGCCTCCAGCTCCTGGTCTTGTTACAGCTGAACATTTTCTTCCAAGTTCAGTCTATTTGTTTAAATGGCAGCACTTCTTCATTTGCTGAGTCTGCATCATTTACCTCAGTTACATTAATGAGAGACGGGCCTTGTCTGGGAGTAAGTGAAGTGGGCTCTAATCAAGTTGAAGAGGATGTCCAGTAGATCATACAAACTTAAAGCCCCATCACAAAACATTAAGTCTGGGAAATAAGGTGCAGTGGTTGTACTCAAGGTGACCACTTGGTGGAAGCAGAACAACTAAAGTTTGTCTTGAGCATCACAGAGCCCGACAGTACAGGAGGCTCTAGCAGCATCCTTTAGGAAGATTCATGTTTTTCACTGTGGTACAAAATGTAGCACTTCTGCAATTTTGTTTCTCAGTTAAATTCATATAGCAAGTTTTACAGTCAGCGCTGTGGCCTCACAGCAAGAAGGCTCTGGGTTTGAGCCCCGTCTGACCTGGTGTCTGTGTGGACTTTGTAAGTTCTCCTTGTGCCTGTGTGGGTTCTGTCTGAGTCCTCCGGCTTCCTCCCACAGTCCAAAGAAAGGCAGCTTATGTTGATTGGTGGCTGTAAATTGCCCATAGGTGTGAGTGTGTGTGGTTGTTTGTCTACATGTCAGCCCTGCGACAGACAGGTGAGCTGTCCAGGGTGTACCCTGCCTCTTGCCCAGTGTCAGCTGGGATTGGCTCCAGCCCCCCTACAACCCTTTCAGAATAAGCGCTATAGATAATGGATGTATGGATGGAACTTTTACAGTCCTTGGACAACATAAGCCTCATCCCTGCAGGTCCTTCATACACTGTATGATCTAAAAGCAGAAAAAACAAAATCACTAAACCTGTCCATCAGTCACCATATTAGACAGATGAACAACTCCATGTATTTACATCGTTCTCAGAGGGGTTGGTAAAAGCTTCATTTATTCTTTTCAGTGTTCAGGGGTTGTCATGACAACTGCGAAGCTGATCAAGGCCCTAGAAAGGCCGAGTTGTCGTCTCCATGGTGTATTTATTTTGTGTGAGATTTTTGTCTCTATCTTTATTTACAGCGACTGCACAATATGTCAGTGTCAGTGCTCTAAAGTCTACTGTCATCTCCACTGTTTTGAGCTTGTTCAGCACCAAGTTGTTGCGACTGCACCACAGGGCCAACCCCCCGTTTGTAGGCCAACTCATCACTGTCTCGGATGAGACCAATGACTTGTGACCGAAATCCGGAATCAGCTAAGCCACTGAATTTCACAGTAAGACACTGACTGCTGCTAGATGCAGAGAGAGCAAACACTAAAGCTCAAAGCCATTGAAGTGTTGGTTTTCTCCACAGACAGCAGCAACAAAAGTAGAGGCAAATGTGACAAATGATGAGCAAATCATTGACAATGATTACAAAGAACATGCAGAGGATGATAAGCAGCATCAACCAAGTGAGATGTGACCGTGGGTGTCCTTGTTATTTTACAGTGTTTAAGGTGCAATTCTGTGACAAACTGAAGGAAATGTTTATACTAAATGATGTACAAATGGTGTAAACACATACATCACAGTTGTTTAAATACTGTACATACAAATATAAATACAAAATAAAAATTGTGCAAAATATACACAAAGTAAAATAAATGCCATCTACCATGCTGAACTAGGCCACAGTACCCTACTCAGTCAGAAACGTGCAGGTGACTGGGCTCTACATGTTGTAAAGGAATATAATGTGCCATGAAAACAAAAAAAAAACCAAATAAAATGTCACTATTGTATTCAAACACACCTTAATTTTTGGATGCCTAAGCAATCACTTTTAGTCTGCCACGCTACATAAAGAGTCAAATCACAGACCAAATAGAAGCTTGGCTCTGCTGCTATTTTTAAGGTGCGTCCTGAATCAGGAAGAAAGGCCAAGGTGACCTTCCTTTATGTGCTGTTTTAGTTTGGGATTTTTGTGTAATAAACCTTAATATATTTTGTTTTTGTATTTATTTTTTTAGCTCAGCTAATCAGAAAACCCTTTTTAACAACACATTCTTCTTCAGAATATACTGGGGGAATTAAAAGTTTTTGAGACTCATAGCAGACATTCAGTGTACCTATAATAAAATGCTGGAAGACCACATCTTGTGAGCAAATAGCTGTAGTAGCTAGCTCATTAGCTCACAAACAAACAAACAAATTTGCTTATCATGTCTGACCACTGTGAGATTACCCAGAAATTTGCATAAACCAAAAACAGATTAGTGGCACAGGCAACTGGAGGGGAGTTGTTTGTTCAGTGGAAACTGAAATGACAGATGGGATTTTAAAACCTACCAAGATTAGAGATACCAAATCTTTTGTTAGCCATTACTGTTGGAACTGTCTTTTCTTTGAAATTGTGGCTCTTTCTATGTAAATGAAGTCCTATCAGCAGCCCAGATCGGGTCTTCATCTGAACAAATAATCATTTCCTATTATCCTCAGCCTTTCTACACAGAATGATTGCAATCTTTTGTTGATATCTTCTTGCTTCAGCTCTATTATTCAGTTCCCATAACTTGAATGGTAATGCAAAATTTAATGCACACTTGAGCATGCATTCAAGCTGCCAATCAGTCTGTAGGTACTCCAAATTGAAGGCTGTTGGCACAGCTGACAGGCAACACAGAAACTGAAAAGTAAGAAAATTCTATTTCCACAGGGGAATAAAAGCTTGAAAAGATTAACCTGATTAGTGACTGGGTGAGAGAAAAAGACATTTTGTCAATCATTCCAAGGTTAGAGTAAGAGTCAACCCCTGAAGCAACATTCAGTTCATGGCTGACTGAATGACTGACAGAGAACTACTGATAACACAGTCATTAAAATGGAATAGGCTCTGGAAGAAGTCACATTGGAGAGCCAAAGCTGCTGTGTGAAATGGAATATAATGAAATAACTGGAAGCAGAAAGCAAAATGAATTGGAATGCACATATTGTATTGTCATCTGTAGACAGCAAGAAAATAAATAAGAAAGAATTTGTTCAAAATCCCAAGGTAGCTGCAGGACACACTGATATTCACAAACAGCACCCGATGGACACATGGACACGCACATACACTAAATACTGATCATACTGCATATACATTACATACATAACAAATTTATTCACTTATTCGACTGGTGTCTTGCCATGCAGAATGAATGAATGAATACTTTTTTAAAGGACTAAAAATCCATAAAAACACATATATTGCTGTCAATACTTGATTTATTCATGCATTCTTTCAGGAGTTCTCCTGGAAACAAACTGTGCTGTTAAATGTTTAAAGGTGATAGAAAAATGAATATTTCAAAACTTCAACAAATAAAACCAAAACATTCTGCAATGGTAGAACTCCAAAGGTTGTGTTATTAAATAAATGATACCATATCTGGATGTGAATGGAAATTGCTTCAGTTTATGAGGGTGAGCAGACAGGCTTTGCAGTGAAAAGTATCATTATAGTGTACAATATAACAGTAATTGCAGGAAATTTCATTGTGAATAAAAACTGACTTTGAAAAAGAAGAAAAGAAAAGAAAAAAAGAACAAAATGGTTTTAAACAAAATGGCCTGCAATAACCTCAACACTGTAAAACACAATAAGCTGATTTTACTTTTAAAAAATCTCTCTGCCTCAGAAGATGGTGAGTTAAAATTATTTATCTTGAATATGCAACACTTTAAATTTTCAAAATGTAACACAAACTCAGTGAAGTCAAATGAACTTAGAAACAAGTTAATAAATTCAAGACATTAAGTTGACTGCACTTTTAAGTCACATGGACAGTTATTGCAGATATGTTTATTTTCCTTTTGAAGAGTCAGTTTTTCACTTAACTTGAACTTAGTGTGTCACTGTATACTGACTTGGAAAGGTGAACTGTGGTTGCCTTTCTTTAAGATGAGGCTGCCTTTCAGGAAGTTAAGAGTGCCATACTGATGTTTAATGGCAGCATAGAAATGACATAAGTATAATAAATCCTCATACAGAGTATCTTAATCTACACGATCAGCTAGAACATTATGAAGTGAAGTGAATAACACTGACTATCTGTTACAGTGGCACCTCTCAGTGTGTGGGGTACTGTATATTTGGCAGCAAATGAACATTCAGTCCTCAAAGTTGATGTGTTGGAAACAGGAAAAACGGGCAAGTATAAGGATCTGAGTGACTTTGACAAGGGCCAGACTGTGATGGTGAGATGACTGGGTCAGAGCATCTCCCACACTACAGGTCTTGGTGGGTGTTCCTGGTCTGCAGTGGTTAGTACCTACCAACAGTGTCTAAGGAAGGATAAATACTGGCAACAGGGTCATAGAACGCCCACAGCTCACTGATGATGAGGTTGACCTACTGTAGACTAAACTTTTAACTTCCATTTGTACTTTTCAAAAGATTAAAATGTATTTGAATCTTTGTTAAAATTGTTGAAAATGAGAAATACTGTACATTGGTCTCTATGAAGAGAAAGAGTCAGGGGCTGTAGTGGTGGTATCACACCTAGAGTGGTGAGGCTGTTGAATTTGTCTAAAAAAAAGATCTCTAACTTGTCCTCACAAACACAGTTTTCACTCCTTTTATATAAGTTCTTCACTGAATGGTCGTGCTCTTCCTGACAGTATAACTGTGGAAGCAAACAGATTCACAGAAGATGCACAGTGAGCTGCAGAGTGACACGAGTTCCAAACAACTGCCACATTGACTCCTGTGTAAACAGTATTAGGCAGGTGGTCATAATGTTATGGCTGATCAGTGTATGTTCCCACAGCTTCACAAAAATAGCCAGTTGTAGTCTTTCTTTCAGGTTCAGGTTGACAACACCAGCAAGCACACAAGTTAAGATTGCTCTGATACTGTCACTGTGACCTCAAAAATCATGTCAGGCTCACCTCAAATCAGAGTGTGTGAGATGGATGTTAGGTTATCAAAGCTTTATTAATTTTCTTCTTCTGAAGTTTTCATACAGTCATGATTCTCTGAAACTGGTTTGGATATTGCTCTTATGCATCAAAGACCAAAATATATTTTAAATTCTCCTGAGCTGCTCCTCTTGCACAGGCTAGTCTTCTTGTGTGACTTTACTGTCATTGTCTAATAGTACATGCTTTATAAAAGCATATGTTATAACTAATGACTTTGTACTGCATATTTTCTACTTGGCTTAACAGACATTATTTCTCAGCCTGCATGTGGTTGTGCACAGTGACATTGTTGTCTTGTTAGTTTTTATCTGTGGTCTTTTTTCTTCACACTGTTACAGGCTGGCTGTGACTCAGGAGGCCTTGGCTCATGTCAAAGACACTAAACCCCCAATTGGTCCATATGGGCCTTGCAAGGCAGCCTGGCCATGACTGGAATGTGAGTCTGTGAATGTGTGTGAATGGGTGACTCGCTAAGTCCATTAAGGTAGAAAAGAGCTGTATAAATGCAATCCATGTATGATTGACTTGCTGCTTCCAGAAAGCTTTATTCATGTCCTATACCCCTGACAGTGGCCAAAATGGGGACCACTGTGCCTAAAAAGGTTTCTCTTTTTTTCTGTTTTTGTCTTCTGTAGCTTTTTCTGGCATTTTGGGCAAATTTCCAGCTTGTGCTAAAGTCTGTAAAATGGAAATGATAGACTATATTTTATAAGTTCATACCATTTAAAAAGAAGAAACAGGGGGAACAGCAGAGGCATAACTGCAGCTTGACTGACATCATTCACTGACCATTTAGAAGGAAACTGTTTTTGTTGTTTTTATTTTCTGCAAAAAAATTGAATGTCTTGACCTTACTCTGCCATTTGGAGCCAAAGAACATCTAACTACAATATGAAACCGCATGGTAGGATTGTGTACGTTGAAATTGCTTTAAGTATTCTCCTGTTTAGGAGGGAGTTGAGGGCATGATGTTCTAAATGGAGACATTTTAAATACTTTTTAAGCATAAAGCTCCAAACACTGTCCTTGTCACTTGCAATTAGTTTATTAATTAATTAGGCATTTTGGGGAACCAGGGTTTCATACAGAAAGCCTCACTAAATTATTATGAGGGTGCAAATTCTACTGAGACTTGAGTGCAGCATGTCCTGTAGATGACAAACTGTGGCTCTTGCCCTGGGACAATTCAGTCACTGAATAGCAAGTTTAAATATCAAAGAACAAATTGTTAAAGCTCTCAGTTACAAAATCATTTCCATTCATTTCTTTGGTTACCTAGATTGATGAAAGGTCCATTTTTGGCTAGAAAAAATCTTCTATACAAGATGAACAGTAACTAGAATGTCTGGTTTTACTTCTTAAAATAGAAAAGCTTGTTTCAGAACACAGTAATTAAAATGTGATCAGCTTATAACAGCATTTAATACAGCGATAGATCATAAAGCTGCAGGCAATGCATCTGTGACTGCATCAACTAACAAACAAATACAGAATCAAACCACTGTCTGACAGACGCTGCCGGTGAACAGATCCATAATTACTGTTGCTTTTCCCTGAGATGTGTCAGTCAAGATCAGACGTCATTGTCAAGTCCAACCCAGAGATGAATCTTTTAGGGTCTCTGCCCTCTTATTAGTTTACTGTCATCTCTACAGGCATCTTTCTCCTCTCCCTCTCTCCCTCTCCTTTCTCACTCTTTCTAAAACAGCAGCAGCTTCAGTTCACTCACTGTGGAGACACACACAACAAAGGTCTGCTTTCCTTACTCCTCACACACTCAGCGCATTTATACACTGGGAAATACAAACACAGGTAAGTTACTTGGTGATTTTCATCTGTTTTTGTTTGTATATTTATTGTTTACTGTAGACGCCCATTGTCAGAGGTAGTAGTAGCATCTTTTCTCCAAGACAGAACAAAATAAGACAAGAGAAATACGATTTTTTGGTAACTCTTCTTTTTAAAGTCTTGAAAAAATTCTTAATAATGTCAATAAAACACATTTTACACACATTTTCATATTATCATCCTTCAGATGTTAATGAATATTCACATAACAAAGGTCACACTGTTTATAGAGTTCATGATTTTCCATTTGCATGCGATGTAATGTAAAATGTAAATACATTATATTACGTGATGGAGGCTTATATTCATATCTCAATGTGCAGTGGAAATATTTGTTTTAACAAGACCATTTTTTTCTTTTATAAATAAGTGTGCATTGAGGTCTAGTTTGATAGAAGCTACTGTGTGTGTCAGAGGTCTGTTGTATAAAATGTCTTGAACTGTCTGTTCCACAATTTTCTATTTATAGAAAAACCTTCATGGTTTTTATGATCTTCACATGGCTGAAAATGATGCAGAATCTGTGAACAAATCTATCCTAAAGGTACAAAAGAGCAAATAAGTTGCTTTTCATTACTCTATTTTTCCTACTCTGTTGCATCCAAGTTGATAAGAAACGGTGCCTTTTTTTTTGTAAAACTGAATATCTGATCATTTCATTTCTGCAAAAATGATCTTTTGGACCACATTTAAAACAAAACCAGAATATAACAGGAAACACTTCCACTAATAGGTACTGTAGCCGTGGTGGGTCTGTAAGATGAGCACAGCAAAATCAGTATCTATTCAATAACAAAGCATTAAAAAGACAAGGTTTTACATGTGAGTGAAAGCCCCGTACTGCATAGGAGGTGATACATAGTTTCTTTCCTTTTCAATTTCAGTCATCTGAGTTTATTGCAAATTTCTGTACTGACTGCACTTTACATGTTTAGCAAAGTGTCCATACATTACTATAGGAAATCCCCTGAAAATCTTTAACCAGTTAACCTTGTCAGCCATTAAGCAGAAGACAAAATCTCTGGTCATTTTTCATTTGAATCTCTCCTCCACACTGTTCATAAATATTATAAGTAGCTGTCTGCATTTGCATCAAACGTAGCTTATATTAATTCCAAACAGTCCCTTTGTACTGTACAAATATTTCATATTTATTCATTATAATTAGCAGTGTGTGCATCACAGGCAGAAACTGAACAGTAAAATGTGAGCCAGCAGTCACTGCTCATGCAACAGTTGCAAATCATGGAACATGGTAATTAAATTATGTGCAAAACATGGGAATACGGATTAGCAAAAAGGAACTGTGGTTTCTAACAAACCCTCACTGATGTTGATTGACTCTTCAAACCACTACAAGCTACAGCAGTAGTGTGTCATCACAAAAATCACAACAAAAATAAGATTAAATGCTTATTAATACTGATTTTAACTGATGGTAAGGTGTTTCTGTTACAGTATGTGGTCTGCAACATGTAGGTTTAATTTAGAAATCTGATTTGATAGGGGACATGACATGAATAATGGAGCAATATAAAAGCATTTGGACATTTCACAAAATCAGGTGCCAAATATCCTCATGTAACTAAATCCACTTGTATGTAGCTAAATATACGAATAATGACATAAAAATGGGGAATCCGAAAGACAATAACCAGCAAATCTTTGCTTCACTTTGTCTTTGTTTGATGAAAGGTTTTATTTATTCTTAATTGTTCTACAAAAGCAATATAAGGGAACACGTCCTCATGCCTTCAGTTTAATTACATGATAAATGGTCTTATACTTGTATAGCGCCTTTCTATGCTTTTACAGCACACTCAAAACGCTTTCACATTATTCGGCCATTCACACTCCCAAACACTCACATCGCCAGGAGCAACTGGGGGTTCAGTGTCTTGCTCAAGGACACCTCAACATGTTGAGTGGACAAGCCAGGAATCGAACCGCTAATCCTGCAGTTAGGAAACGACCCACTCTACCTCCTGAGCCACAGCTGCCATCCAAGACAATAGTTTAACATCAGTCTTTTGTGTGAGATATTACCTAATAATCAAATTCCAGATATTTAATCAGCAAGCTGGCCTGAAAATCAGCCAAATGATTTGATCTAGACTCAAGATTTAATTTCACTCCAAAGGAACTATTATATTACATTTATTCCTAATAAAAAATTCTTTGAATTTTTTCCACCAATAACAAATATTGTTACTGTTATATCAAATGCATGAAAGTCAAGCATCCCTGTCATGCTAAATTATTCTATGTAAAGTGCTAAACAAGGTCAGCTGGTCAGTACTCACACTAATACAATATAGCATGTCCTCTAAATGCCAACACAACTTTGTGAATTGACATTTTCCATAAGCCCATTTCAGTGAAGGATATACAGTGTGATATTGTCCTGCTCATCTTAGTTATTCACATTCAAAAGCCTTTATAAGTAGAAACCCTTTAATAATGTGATCTTCGCCTTCCACTGCGAGACTATGTTGGTGCTGGTAAAAGCCTGATTATTCAGTAATGGTCTTCCACTTTGTAAATGTCAGGACCTGTTTTCATTAGAAAGTTGTTTTAAATTATGCCTGCATCTATTGCTTGAACACAGTGATTTGATAGGCATTTGACTTTTAGAAAAGTTGTTAATGGTATGTTGTACCTGTTCTATTGCATTTTGGACAGTGTAGGTACTGACAGACTGTCTTCTGCTGCCATGGAGGGAAATCACAGTGGCTTGGCTGGAAGCACACAGACGTCTGTGTCAGAAAAACAGACAGATGGACACATTTATGAGGTTACAGTACAGAGCAACTCCACCAACCACAGCACTCAGTTTGCTGATGTAGCCCTGCTGCAGATGTTCAAACCTCTCATCATCCCTTTGTATGTGCTTGTAGTAGTGGTGGGCGTCTTTGGGAATTACCTGCTCCTCTATGTCATCTGCAGAACACGCAAGATGCACAATGTCACCAACTTCTTCATTGGGAATTTGGCCTTTTCTGACATGCTCATGTGTGTGACTTGTGTCCCTTTCACTCTTGCCTACGCCTTCAACCCACATGGTTGGATTTTTGGCCGCTCGATGTGTTATCTGGTGTTCCTCATCCAACCTGTCACAGTCTATGTTTCAGTCTTCACACTCACTGCTATTGCTGTGGACAGGTGGGTGGATGTTTCTGCACTTAAGGCTTTTATGCCACTCAGTGATGTTTTGGATTTTTTTTTTCCAATTTTTTTTTTTACCTTTTTGTCCTTCTTGCTTTCAGTGCTTTGCAGTTTAATGTCTGTGCTCATTTGTATAATGTAATTGTGCTGCCACTTGAATGTTTTGAAAGATAAATTTGGATCTCAGGAGAACAGCCTTAATAAAATAAAAGTCAAGAAACACAAAATTAAATCCATCTATATATAATTCATTTTACATTTTACACAACATTCTGTATGGCATATAATCTCAAAAACAGAAATTATACAAATAGGACAAAATCAGCAGTCATCATTTATTCTCATTTAGAAATTAGGGAGATAGATTAATTAATGAGTGCAAACTTTTAATACTAAAACTTTAACGATAAGGGTTCACTACTCATGCTTAATAAATGCATGACTAATATGATTTAGTGCATGCATTAATACATGATGGCATGAAATCCTCTGGCTTAATGATGTGATGTGATCATATATAAATAATATATGATCATGTCTTTATTAGCTCATGTGACAAATCAGTATATTAGAAAATTAATTAGGAATAAAATAATAAATTAATATTACCATTTGTAATTTGACAGGCTTTGTTATTTGAGAGTTTGAAAATCCATTTGTGAATTCATAAAAAGATAAAATATTAAATAGTTTGGGCCTTCAGCAGCATGTACCTGATAGGACCAGACCAAAATCCAATTATTCATCTTTATAAATCCACAGAAAGAACAATCAAAGAGGTGAGCTCTGAGACTAACAGATTGTTTACTGCATAAAAAATTCAAGCATCTTTTGTAGAATTCTTTCTGCATGTTTGCACATTAACTGTTGATTTATCTCCCTCTGCAGCTGAGGGCAGCAATATCAATTGAGGCTTTGCACCATAGACTGAAAACTCAGCTCAACTTTGCTTTCACTGACATCTGTTACTACCCCACTGCCATTTTACTCTGCATACCTCTGCTTAATCTTAAAAGCTTCCATTTTAAATGATTTTCCTCTTTTTCATCTTGGCCTGCACAGGTCACATTGTCTGCTCCATATTGTTCATTATTTTTGATGTACTTTTTGTAAAGCACACTTTGCTGCATTTATGCATAGTAACTGTTTTATCTAATTAACTTTTAACATTTATACAATAAGTAATCATGTGAGCTAACAGTGACTTGAACTTTTGGTAAAATTTTGCTGAAGGAGTTCATGATAACTCATAGTCATGCATTAATTGAGCACAAGTTTTGCGGCCCTGTTACAAAGTTCAACTCTTTATTTTCTATTGCAGATATTATGCAACAGTTCATCCCCTAAAGAAGAGGACCTCTGTGCCTACCTGTGCCTCTGTCCTCACAGGAATCTGGCTGCTGTCCTGTGGGCTGGTAGCTCCAGCAGTGACTCACACCTACCATGTAGAGTTCAAAGAGGAAGGCTTCACCATCTGTGAGGAGTTCTGGTTGGGACAAGAGAAGGAAAGGCATGCTTATGCATACAGCACTCTGCTGGTCACATATGTCCTGCCACTGTCAGCTGTCTTTGTCTCTTATCTCTGCATTACTGTCAAACTGAGGAACTGTGTTGCACCAGGCCATAGGACACAAGACCAGGCAGGTGCTCAACAAGCTCGTAAGAGAAAGGTCTTCCGCTTGGTTGCGCTTTTAGTGTCTGCCTTTGCAGTGTGCTGGCTTCCTATTCATGTATTCAATGTGCTGCGAGACATAGACATCCACCTGATTAACAAGCGCTACTTTTTACTTATCCAACTGCTGTGCCACCTGTCTGCCATGAGCTCATCTTGTTATAACCCCTTCCTCTATGCATGGCTGCACGACCGCTTCCGCACCGAGCTACGTAAAATGTTCAAGTGCCATTATCGTATTGGAGTGCCTGCCAATCACTGCGCTGTCAATGTGGTCTTGTAATTACATACTGAAAAGGACCCTTTTTTATCCTCTGGTCACCCGTAAAATCCATAGAAACCTTTGCTGCAATCTGGCCATTAGTTACTGTATGTTGTGTACAAAGATGTTCTATTGGCCAGGAGCAGCTATTTAAAAGAGGCCAAGGTAAGGCATCATCTTAAAGGTCTGCTATTTCCTAATAATTGCTTGAAATTTTCCTGGAAAGAAGCATGTAGTTTGGTACTAATTATAGAAAAATTAAGTTCTGAAGCTGTTATTTTAGCTTATTATTGTCTTTCAAATTAATTCCCATGAAATAAATTTAAATCCATGTTAACCCTTTTATTAACCCTATTTACCATTCATTTATTTATTAATTGAAATGATATTCTTCCTAGGGATTAAGCGGTAGAAAATGAATGAATGAATGAATGAATATTCTTCCTTTATCCTGAATTGTGTGGTTGCTTGTGTAGCTCACCTTCAAAGTTACATGGTTGTTTCCAGGAAATGTTTTAGAAAATTATTTGGAACTGAACTAGATACTACAAGCTTGTAAAATACAGTGTTGAAGGTCAGTCTTCAGGTGAGTGTGAAAGTGTTTGATTTCATGGTAATTTTCCAGTAGTTTCAGACATAATAGACACAAAGCAGAAATTTTAACCCTTTAAAATTTTAAGTCACTCGGTTGACACAATTAGTAGAGCTCATGCGCTGTGGACCATGACAATATACAAATTTAATGCAATCTAGCTATTAGATAAGTTGTGTATAAATGTGATAATTAGACCTGAGGTTGGTGCAAGGGGAAAGGTCATGTAAAGCTCAGGATGGAAAGGGAAACACACTCCACTGCTAACTGTCATTTTTATTTTGGCATTTCTTTGGGCATGGTGTCACATGGGTCACTGGACTACTAATAAGGTCAAGATTCATCCTCATAGGACACGGATAATCAGCAGCAGATTTCATAGTAAATGGGGCATTAGTTCTTAAGATACTTGGTCATGGACCAGAAACCTTTCACGATGGTGTTAAATGGATGATCAGGGTTAGAAGATGATCTACAAAAAAACACGATGTCTTTGTTAATATCCTGTGGAAACCATGAATATCCATACCAACCAGGCTAATAGTCGTAAAGATACCTTTCTCTGGAACAAGGTGTTGTATGGACAGTACTGCTTTTTATCTCTACGCTATGAGAAAAAACTGTAGTGGGGTATAAAGGTTTGAAATCTAAAATTTAAATCCAAACTCTTAAATAGCTTTTTGTAATATAATGTATATACACTGTACATCTGATCTACTGTATATAGAATGATACAAACTTTTTTTTCTTTGTTTGTAATAAAAAGATAATGGAAGACAAAATCATTTACAGTATATGGCTGGATCAGGGCTGTGCATGGTGAACAATGTGAGTGTATTGGATATGAAGGCAAAACAAGACCATCACTTCACATTGCATTTGGAAATAATGCCTGCAGATGTTGTTTCCAACAGGGCACCGATGTCAGACCTAATCCTTGTGTGGCACTCTTCCTTGCGGAACAAATTAAATTTATGAACTTGCTCCCCTTAGGCTTTAATTTCTTTGAGCCCATAGTTGATGAAAATGCATCTTAGTGTATAATTTATCAAACTACTGCTACCATTGTATAATTGCTGTAAAAAACACTGTGGTGTGGTGGTTGGTTCTGTTTTCATTTGTTTTTAATGGGTCTTAAAATATTTTACAAAATGTGCACATCTGATCAATATTGAGTCTAGTAATCTTGAAATAACCAATTGTTATCCAGTATTTTTAACAAACTGGTTGCTTTCACTGTCTTCATTCTAGTTTCATTATTTAGTTTACATGTTACCTGTTCAGTATTCTCTGTATGCATATTTATGTTCTTCCTGCAGGTGGATGAGACAGATTTATCTTTGCTGCAGTGATAACTCAAAACACGTTTGACATGCTGTGGTCACTTGCCTTTATTTTTACTCCTTTCCCATCACAGTTTTCTTGCATGAAGGGACTCTGTTAACTAAACTGCTTTGGGTGTGATGTGCTATAGCAAATTATGCATATGGTTTTTGGTGTTCTATGGAAGAAATGTATAATTTCACGTGTAGGCTGTGCTATCACACACTGGAAAACTGTGAATAAAGATAGAGATCAAATTAATTCCCTGCATCAGATCAGTGTAGCTGCACGATGGCATGAGGTGGAATAAAATTACATCTAACTCGGTCAGAGTGCACTTGTGCTCCAGAATTTACTAATTAGATAACATGGGGGATGAACATGTTTTCTGCATATCAACTAGGCCTGTGTGGGACATTCAACCAATGGGAAAATGCATTAAACTCGTTTATCATGTCAGCATATTTGGTGTTTGCCAGCAACAACTTCCTGTAGTTAAATGGTGTTGACTCTATAGTTACAGTTAAGTTATAGTTAAGACCAATTTAGCATAGTTCTGTTTCCACTTCTACATCTGTAGTCCCGAAGTGAGCGCAAGGCTGCAAAATCTTCTGTTTATGATGGTTTTAGTATTTTACTTTGGACCTGAACGGGTCTGCTGCATATACTGTATCTACACATACAATAAAGTGTCTCGTAGACCGCAGCGGACAACATTGATTTGATTTTTGATTTTGATTTATTCTTTCAAGCATGTAAAAACAGTTGATATGACAACACACATAATTTTACACATAATCCAATATCAATTTGCTTATACCTAGTACATGCTTGAATGGAGTAGGAAGAAGTCAGGCTTATCCAGTCCTACCCCATGACATCATCTTACCATCATTGGTTTGCAAGCAGTAAATGATTCACTTCTACCCACACACGTATTATACTAAAAAAAGATTGTAACAATGTTAACATTCTTACACCACACAAGTAATATACTAAAGAATTATTACAAAGTGTTAACATTCACACCCACAATGTTCCATCTAATTAATCATTGAGCCTGTTCTTGTATATATCTTGATTGACACATAACTTTATATTTATGTTTAAACTCATCAATTCTTTTACTATTTTTTATGTCTACACTTAAATTATTCCATAGTTTTACCCCACTTATGGAAATACAAAATCTTTTTTTGGTTGTACGTATACCATGAATTTTTTAATTTAACTGGCCCCTTAAATTGTATCCCCTTCCCTTTCATTAAATAGTTTTTGAATTCCACCAGGTAATAAATTGTTCCTGGCTTTATACAAAAACACAGCAGTCTTATATCCCACTAAATCAAAAGATTTTAACAATTTAGACTGTATGAAAGCTACATTGGTGTGATCCCTATACCCCATCTTATGCACAATTCTTATCGCTCTTTTTTGTAATATATACAATGGTTGTATATATTACAAGTTTTCAACGCCATACTCCAAGTATGGTAGAATCAATGAGGAATACAAAATGCGTAGTGCTTTAGCGTCCAAAATATATCTAACCCTTGCCAATATCGATATATTTTTTGCTATTTTGTTCTGAACATATTTGATATGAGATTTCCAGGAGAATTTGTCATCAACTATGACACCTAGAAATTTAATTTCATGTACTCATTCTATATTAACATTAAAACACTATTATCTAGATTATAGTGGAAAAATAGCTCAGTGCTTGCAAAGACAGATTAAATGCAGTAAGACCCAGGGGACTGAGGCAAAACAAGTTGTTCTTTTCTGTGAAGACTTGCCAATTACATTGTGTACCATGGCAAAGTAATTCAGCAGCATTAACTCTGAAAAGAGGAAACTTTTAATAGTGTATTGCATCGTCATGCTGACATTTTCAGTGAACTAATAACTAGTTAACAAGCAACCGTTTAATCAGTACAATGAAGACTTACTGGCGTCTTGGTATAATAGTCCTTTTTTCCACAGCACAACGTTGAACTTTTCATAGTAGGAAAAGCACAGGTGATGATGGCTGTGTCTGTACTTTTCCTACATGACATGAGTGTCTTATGTAAAATGAGTTTATTATAAGGAAAGGTTTGGTCTAAATGTGCAAAACCATAAAACACCTGACATCACATTTTGTGAAACATGGTAAGTTTATACTTACTGTATCTGGTACTTCAATATATAGGAGGGTGCGCAAACGTTCTTGCACTTCCTTTGAAAAAAACATTTCAAAGTCTGTTGGATATACTCACACCATTTTTTTTATTGCACAATGCGGTGTATCCAATAACCATTTCAACCCACCTTTATTTGAAAGTAAACCAAGTCTCAGAACCAATCTGTTACTTAGACTGGTTAAAACTAGCTAAAAAAGGTTGTAGCATCTCTCATCATTAACCAAGTCTTATGGAAATAAAAATATGTGGATCCTAACTGAAATACTCAAACTCAAACAAAACATGCATTTAAGCTCATAAAATATTTTGTCCTGTACAACCATAACCACATAAGAAAACATTGATCTCCATAACTGGTTATGATTTCTCAAACATCTTCTGTGTCAAAGCAAAGTCTCTAGCTTCCTGAGGAGTGCGGATGTATGAATCAATTTCACTGTCAGAGATTTCCTCATCACCAGTTACATCCTGGAGTTCTGGCTGCTCCACTCTCCTCCTCTTGGCACGAATCACACATGGGGGAGCAAACAGCACTCTCTTCCCCCAGTTTAGTTCCACATCATTCCTCTCGTGAGGGCCGCTGTGCAGCTCAGATACTGTGCATGGATTATTATCTCCATCTCTTGGTTGTGGGGCCCCTTCTTCATTCGGTTCACACTGTTTTACAGAGGATGAGTTTGGAGTTTGCTCTACAAGCTCAGAGCTTTGGACTGAATCAGTCTCCTCAGTTAGAGAGTTGTCAAAGCCAGCCTTACGTCCTTCCTGCAGAGCATCCTGGTGGGTTCTCATAGCCCTCCTTAGCAGGGCGTACCTGTGCTGCAGAATGTCCTCCACGTGCTGAACAACATTATCTGGTGTCACTGCTTCCCTGACCCAAGGAATCTCTTTACCCAGCTTACACAGTGCCTCCTTTATCTCAGCTATCCTCTTCACAGCAGGTCTGTACTTATTCACTTTTGCAATCTGACAGAATTTCTCCAAAGAGGTTTTGAGCCGTTGCTTGGTGGGTCTCAGGGACTGCCAAGCCAAATAGACTGCCGCCATAATGATAGGGACGGGTTTGCGACCAGTCACAATCCAGGAATCTGCTGCCAGCTCCACCAGAGCTACAGCACATCTGGTCAAGTCCTTGGAGTTCTCAGCAAATTCTTCAGGAAGATGAAGAGAGCTGATTTTGTACCTGCCGGAAAAAAACAAAAACAGTATTAGGTAAGGGCTCCACCAGAGCACTTCTCTATTCTGCTTGGATGCTCTCGGGATAGTTTAAGAAATTCCAAAAGGATAGAATGTCCTATAAAACTTGGACTGATTCAACACAGTCATGAGCAGCTCCCCCAGAGAGATTTCAACATTTTGTTTCGGGAAGATGAACTTTAATATTATACCAAAACTAACCAAATGGGAATCATTCCCATCCACTAACCATCACTTGCAATAACCCTAAAAGCTAAATAATCATGTCTAAAACAATCAAGAACAATTAAGGAAAAATCTACAGCTGTAACAGTTTAACTATCAGTGAGTCTTCTGGCTGGTAGTTTAACTAGTGTTTAACAAAGAATGAATAATGACAGCAGGCTGGAATGTGTTATTTATCTGTTGCTACGCTTCAATGTAGAAAATGTCTTCTTAAATGGCATTTGTAACTGTTGTTTTAATGCTGATCCTCCATGCAAACATTCAGACCACTGTCTTTTACTTACTCCTGAATGTGGGTCTCTATTACATCAGTGATGAGGACGATAGGCGCCTCAATTTTTAGAGCACTGATCATTTCTTGATAAACCTCTCCCACCAGGGTTGGGTCAGCATTGATCAGGCAGAGGATGGTTGCCATGGTAATGGGCCAGTTGAGAAGTCTGCAGCTTACAAGCACACAGCACCCAGCGAGAACTTCTTTCTTCTGGAGGCTTACTTTGAGGAAACTTTCATGCTGATAGGCCTTGTTGTAATAGGTCTGCGAGAGCTGCTCAATTTCTCTGTGGACCATGAGAATCCGACACATGGCTTTCACACGCTGCAGACCTGTAAAGACATGATAAAAGACTTAAGCATGAGCTTGTGAAAGAAACGGGGTCAACTACTGTATATAGAGGAGCTAATATGAAATATCTTGAATGAACAAGAGCTGAGAGAGAACATCTCACCTTTTATCAGGTTCAGACATGGCTTTTTGGCCACAGCTGTGGTTCTGCTGTATGTGACAACTGTAAAAAGTACACAGAGTCAGGGCTGAGATGAAATGTGATGATATTGCGACCACACTGCATAAATATCATCATGCTGTTTACAATACATACTTCCCCCTGTTTGGGGCATAGAACATTCAACTTTAAGTTAAGAAAATGATACTGCACTACACTAAAGCTGCAATATTTAATGAATTATTCAGCAGAAAAAAAATTACTTTACATCATTTTACATCAAAATTACAGAATTTTCAAGCATCATGAAACACCTGTTTCCATGTTCTCATATATAAGAATGTGCTGCTTTTCTTGGTTACATTAAAGTACATTTCCTTCCAGGGCTAGATTACAAACCACCTATGAAACGGTCTTTATATTCACCCTGAGTCAGTTGCCTTGGGGTAAATTAGTTCATTGAAAATTTCTATTGTGTTGCAGGGACAGCATACACATTTGTCTTTAAAATGTCTGCCTTCACAGTAATAACACAAAGGTGAATGGATCTGTTTATGGTGCTCACAGCATTGAAAATGACATTTACAAAAATAAATAGCATTACCAGTCTCCATAAACTGTCAGTTTCACATAGTAGTCACAAAGAAAACTGTTTAATGAGGTCTGTGGATAATGCAGCAGAGCAACAAGGACATCGTTTTGTGAAACAGCTTGTTCCATTTAGTTTTTGAGTACTTTTACTCTAGCTCTTATGTTGTTCACACAGTTGATGCAGATGTAGCCTAAGCAGTCTCCCATAAAACAAGACCAATACAACAGAAAACATAACACAATGGACTCACAATAACACACAGTTAATACAGTGAAGGGTGTTCAAGCTGATAAAAGAACAAGTTCTATACACTGATTACGAAAATCCCAGTAACCACTCTAGAGTTGACTGATGCAGTATGAGTTATCATTCAAATCATTTTACATTTTCTAGAAAAGCAATCCACCCTCAGAGTGGTCAGTGTCAAAAAATGTCAACACTGTGTGGCTGCACTGCAGTATCAACCACAATAAAATAGTGTAACCCGTTTAATGCCTTAAATTGCATTAAAGACTGCTTAGGGGAGCTCAAGGGGTAAATCGGTCAAGCCAATGTTAGCATACATACATATACACCATGTACCAGCACCAGGTACATATACACCAAACAATAAGTGACAAAACAGAGCAAAAACATGCCAAACTAGGTTTGTGGCAAGTCAATTTTTTAACTGCACAATCTCCCACTTCATTAAATATCCATCACAATTTATTGAGATTATTTTAAACTACAACAAATCTCTTTTAAAAATCATCCAAGTATTGAGATCAGTAGCAGCCTGTACAATCCTACAGTAAGATGTTCAGACGCTGTTTCCCACCGGAAACAATAAATGATCGTGCTTGTATACTGGGGTCTAAGATGATCGTCCAGGATTTACTATACTGCTTGATGTAGTTAAAAACTGACTCCAAACTGTGATATTCCAGAATTGGGACATTTGGGAGTTTCTTAAGTGTCATTTTCAGTACCGTAAGCACTACAAACTCATAGATTAAAATCTAAGAAAAACGGTTTGTGTTGCGAAGCAAGATTCATTTAGTAGCAAGAAGATTAGGAGCAAGTTTATCAGGTGAACCAGCTCGTTAACGTTATTTACCCCTCCGGGACAGACAAGGCCAACGTCAGGTCTCTGTATCATCAGTGTTCATACCTGGTCCGACCACTGGTTCAGAGGCCAGGACTCCCTCTGACACAACGGACCCGCAGTCCACACACACCCGCTGCGGTTGACAGTACAGATCATCTTCGACGATGTTTGAGCCACCGCAGCCCTGGCAGGTTTGAGCTGTCCAAGGCATCTTCGACTAAACAAACTGCCGCTGTGTGCGAACACAGCGTAAACACTACTAGTTGAAGATAACAAGATTAAAGGCGTGATACGTTAGTCGGAACACCAAAAACTATTGAAAACGCGCTAAACACAACATAACCATGAACTCTACATCCCCAGTATGCTGTTTACAAAAGATAAAATACCGAACATCACCCGGTCATTGCTGCTCTGAAGGGGGCAAGAGAAATAAGTCCGTACAGACACAAAGTGTGGAATTTGGTGTGTTCCGGTTTCGCCTGGTGTTACCGTAGAGCACTTGTGTCAAACTCAAGGCCTGCGGGCCACATCCGGCCAGGCGTACAATTACATCCGGCCCGCGCAGCGAAACACCTGCCTTACTGAACAATAGGCTACCTGCGATCATTCCCGCGTCAATTACGTCAGATCAATCAAGTGTTTGTTGATGTATACAACCCTAATTTCAGGTCAAAGCTAGCCCCCAACAATGGCCAAGAGAAATTTGATTATGAAAACAGAGCCTTTCAAAACCGGTGGGAGGCTGAGTATATGCTTACTGACATTTCCGGTAAACCTGTGTCTTATTTGTGGAGCTAATGTGGCTGTAATTAAGGAATATAACCTAAGCTGGCACTATGAGACAAAACATCAGGACGAGCTGAAAACGTCAATGCAGAGCAGAAGCTACAGAAGGTAGAGGAGTTGAAGAGGAATCGGACATCACACCAGATGTTTTCACCAAATCAGGGCAAATCACACAGTGAAGCTGCTGTGAAAGAAGGTTTATTGTGGCAGAGGAGAAAATCAGCCTGGACATTTACTGAGGGAGAGTTTCTGAAGAGCTGCATGATGAAAGTGTGCGACGTCTTGTGTCCAGACAAAAAGCAGGTGTTTGTAAATGTACTAAGCCTTAGCAGAAATATGGTTGGTGATTTTAAGTTTGTTTATTTATTCTGGAATAATAATGTGTCCTGTCTGTTTAGATTGATATTTATGTTCAATATATGTTTAGTTTTAGTCTGTTCAATAAATGTTTATCCTGTTCGGCCCGCGACTTAAAGTGTGCTTTGAGTTTTGGCCCCCTGTGCGAATGAGTTTGACTCCCCTGTAGTAGATGGAACATGAACAGAAAGTAAAATTCAAAGTACAACTCAAATTTCTCACACA